AAAGTACAGGTATTTTTGTTAGAAATGTAAGAAGTAAAAGTAAAAAGTCTTCAGAAAAATAAGTAGTGGAGTAAAGTACTGGTACCAGAAAAATGTACTTAAGTAGAGTAACAAAGTATTTGTACTCCACTGCTTCCACCTCTGCTTCCTGGTTCCCTCATCCGTATTAGGTGCCTTACAAATAATGGACGTCCGCTCTCGGGAGCGTCGGAGTGGTGCGGTCACCCTAAGTGACAGACCTAAAGTATCCGGGATTCAGGCACCTTCCCTGGCTTGTACATTTTTGGTAATGCGCCCTGGAGGTATCAGACTATTTTAAACAACTTTTCCCCGCCTTTCAAACACTTATTCCTGGGTTTTAGCCAGTCATTTTGCACGATATCGTTTAACATTGACGCTCTCCTGAAAATGCACATATTCTGTGCATTTTCAGGAGAGCGTCAATGTTAAATGATATCGTGCAAAATGACTGGCTAAAACTCTCTTCCAGACATTTAAAAATACTTTCCCCGACCATTTAAACATTATTTCTGGCTTCTAAAGTGCAGTTATGCGCCCTGGAGGTATTATACTATTTCAAACAACTTTTCCCCGCCTTTCAAAATCTTATTCCTGGGTACAAGTGTTATCTTTTCCCCCCTGGGTGTGTGTGAGACAGGTGAACTGAGTCAGCCTGCCAACAAGCAGCAGTCTGCTATCATTTTAAACAGTTCCCCCGACTTTTTAACACACTTTTACCCACGTTTTGAGCACTCATTCCTGGGTCAATGTGTCATCTCTTCACCCTGGTCCTGAATTAAAACAGTTCCCCGACTTTTTAACACACTTTTACCCACGTTTTGAGCACTTATTCCTTGGTCAATGTGTCATCTCTTCACCCTGGTCCTGAATTAAAACAGTTCCCCCGACTTTAAGCACTAATGTGCCCATGATTCAGACACTTATTCCCGGGGCCAATGTGTTCTCTTTTCCCCCCTGGGTGTGTGTGAGACAAGTGAACTGCCAACAAGCAGCAGTCTGCTGTCATTTGAAACATGTTCCCCGACTTTTTAACACACTTTTACCCATGTTTTGAGCACTTATTCCTGGGTAGAAAAGACATGTGCTGTAGCCTGGTTCTCTCCCAGTACTGAGTACTAGTTAATGCCACTATTACCACCACATTTAAAGCAGATGAACTGGTAGTTATCCGGGCTGCTGGAGAGTCATTTTCAGGCTCCTCTCCACAATTGTCCCCCTAAAATGATTTTAAATCATTATTTTTGCATTCCAATGCATTTATTCTATCATTTATATGGTTCCCCAACACAATGCACATAGTCTGGAGCTCACTGGGGTCCTGCATATAATTTAATCAGGCGTTTTAACACTTTTTCCCATGAAAATTATTTTTAATCACTATCATGGGGCTATGAAAATCAAATTCCGGGTAATGCAGAGCACAATTGCACCTTTTACTATTTAAATGTATTTGTATTATATATATTTGGGCTAGAAAGGTGACCTCTCTGGGTGATTTAGTCAGTTTATGGAGCTTAGCCCACAAATCCTGGATGATCCAGGCCGAATTTGGGTGCTCATAGGCGGCCTGCCAGGCGCCCCCACCCGTGGAAAGCAAAGAAAAGTGAAGAAAACGGTTAATTATATCTTAAAATAATCAAAAATGAAGTTTTGAAAAATTGTCAAAAAAATGACAGAGTGCCAACGGAGAAGGGGCTCAACTGTTTGGCGCTTCGGGCCGTTTTTTCCCCTTCTCCGATGGTTGGTGCAACGGAGAAGGGGAAAAGGTTCCTGGGCTTCATTTCCCCTTCCCTGTGAAAAAAATTCATCCATACTTTTCAGACTACCGTCTGCACGAAATCAGAAACCCGGTTTTTGGGTGCACTCAGAAAAAAAACGGCTGTTTCTAATCTTGGAAGAATGTATCCGATGAAAGTGCACTTTGGCTCGGATGAATTTGATGCCTCAAGACCCCCTAGCCTGGTTCTCAAAATACTTTAAGTTTGACTCTGGATGAATGCAAGGGCAGTTTGCAGGGGACTTTGTCTGCATTATGATGCACTATTTTGGGATAGTTTTCTCAATTTAAACACAGACTGTAGATGGCTCGGACACTTCTATGTGACCCTGGAGGATATGACCGAGAGATGACAGACTCTCTTGCGGGGTCATGATGCACTATATTGGGACACAATTTTCTCATTTTGACCCCTTTTCCTGGTTCTCACAAAAGTTAACTCTGATTATTTTGCCCATGGAGGAATGCCAGGGGAGTCGACAGGGGACTCCTTTCGGGGTCATGATGCACTATATTGGGACACAATTTTCTCATTTTGACCCCTTTTCCTGGTTCTCACAAAAGTTAACTCTGATTATTTTGCCCATGGAGGAATGCCAGGGGAGTCGACAGGGGACTCCTGCGGGGTCATGATGCACTATATTGGGACACAATTTTCTCATTTTGACCCCTTTTCCTGGTTCTCACAAAAGTTAACTCTGATTATTTTGCCCATGGAGGAATGCCAGGGGAGTCGACAGGGGACTCCTGCGGGGTCATGAGGCACTATTTCCGGGTACTTTTTTTCATTTTCACCCAAATTTCCCTGGATGAAATATATATATATTTTTTTGTTTTTAGCCCATTTTCACCCAGTTCTGGCCACCGCGTTGCCTGGAGGACGCTTTTGCGGGGTCATGAGGCACTATTCCTGGGTACTTTTTTTCATTTTCACCCAAATTTCCCTGGATGAAATATATATATTGTTTACTGTTTTTAGCCCATTTTCACCCAGTTTTGGCCACAGCGTTGCCTGGAGGATAGGACCGAGATATGACAGACTCTCTGGCCGCCTCACAAGTCACTATTGTCGGACACTTTCTTTGCTTTACCCCGGTTCTATCACTTTTTCCTCCTTTGACCATACAACCCGTTTCCTGCTGGGGTGGTGCCTGGTTCCGGGGCACCCCAAACCCTCTCATGGTCGGGGCACCATGCATTAATGCATCGGACCCAATGTTGCCATCACCAGCCCCGCGTTGGTGCGGAGGTGGGACCATCTGACCCGGTGGTAACCCAATACCTCCCTTGGTCCATGCACCATGAATTGATGCATCGGACCCAGTGTCGCAATCACCGGTCACGCTAACGCATATAAACGTAGAACTAGAACATCATTTTGATGAAATTCATTGTGTCTGTTTCAGTAAGGATGTAATCCGAATGCCCGGTGTGCAGACTCTTCTATCTGGCGTTGAACAAACACCTTAAGCACAAGCATGCAGTGCGGAACTTGGAGGAGAGGGGAATCCTCCTGAAAATAGCCAGTGGAAGGATAAATGTTCGGACCAAACCCTGTCCCATCGCTGGGTGTTCGTACGCTGGGAAGAGACTGGACCGTCATGTAAAACATGACCACCCTGAGTTCTCCCGACATGAGGCACATCAGGTCATGGCAAGGCTGAAGCATAGTGTGGCACTGCAGTTGCTCCATGACCTCCGTGAGACTAACCCCATCATTGGAATGGCTACATCATTGGATATAGACAATGAGGAGGAATACCCCGGGCACCCTCCACTAGGGATGGGTACCGAGCCCCGGTATTAAACGGGCCCCGGGGCTGAATTATTAAAGACCGTGGTACCGTTAAGCTCCGACGTTATCGGTCTTTTTATCGGTACTGGAGACATCTAAAAAATATGTCATGTGTCGCCAACTCCGTTTCTAACATGCAAAAAGACTGCAAAATGCGTCATTTTTTGTATTTTCGATCTCTCCAATCCAGACGAGAGATCTCTCTCCCCCGCCTGTGTGCGAGGGGGCAGGACAGTTTACACACACGCGGCTGCTACACGCAGCAACACACACACACGGAGGAGATGGCGGAGAGAACGCGCTCCGAGGTGTGGTTAAACTTTACCCGTCTCGCTCGTTGCCTAAAGTGCAATAAGAGTTTAGCATGTCAGGGCGGTAACACGAGCAATTTGTCTAAACATCTTGCAAAAGTGCACCACGTTCAGACGGAGAAATGCACCGGGTTCGACTGTCTCTCTAGCAGCTCTGTAGCCCCATCCAGGTATATTATGTATGCTAGCAGCAACACACGGAGCTAACTCAATGATTCAAACATGGGTTAATGATTAGAGGGAACTGAGTTATTTAGTTTGTTATAGTTTCAGCCATTCTGTTCACAGTTCTGTCATCAGATTATTTAATATGATTTGTTAAAACGTTGTTGTTTCTGTTGATGTGAAATATTATGTATTTCATTTAAATAAAAAGCAATGTTAGTTTTGTTCACAATTTGTTAATTTTCATTTAATTTTTTATTTGAATAGGGACAATGCACATTAATGAACACTTTAGACAAATAATGCTTCAAGTGTAAATATGCCGGATTTTAGCTTTGAGCTAATTTCCATCCGTAGTCCCTGACATACAACATATAGTTAGTTTACCTCATTTTTCTCTCCAAAAGAACCGATAAGAGTACCGTTAAAAGACCGGACCGATAAGCGGTATCGATAAAAGTAGTAGTACCGTTAAAACCTTAACGATACCCATCCCTACCCTCCACCCTTCTCCCCACATACCGAGTGTGACAACGAGGACTGCAGGCAGGTGATGCTGGAAAATGTGGCATTGAGGGCTCAGAAGGATGCCCTCAATGATGAGGTGAAGACCCTGCGCTCCAGGCTGAAAAAGGAGCTAAAACCCAGGAAGCAGAGTGCTGCTGTGCTTGAGGAAGAGGACGAATGTATACGATTTAAGGGCCTGGCTATCCCAAGTACCTCCGGCATAAACACAGTAGCCTCAGGCAGCAATACCCCTGTGAAGAGCCCGGTGAAGACTGTCATGCTTGCAGTAGCCTCCGGTAGCGAGACCCCTGTGAAGAGCCCGGTGATGACTGTCATGCTTGCAGTAGCCTCCGGTAGCGAGATCCCTGTGAAGAGCCCGGTGAAGACTGTCATGCTTGCAGTAGCCTCCGGTAGCGAGACCCCTATGAAGAGCCCGGTGAAGACTCTCATGCTGGCAGTAGCCTCCGGTAGCGAGACCCCTGTGAAGAGCCTGGTGAAGACTGTCATGCAGTCCCCAGTAACCTCCGGTAGCGAGACCCCTGTGAAGAGCCCGGTGAAGACTGTCATGCTTGCAGTAGCCTCCGGTGGGAAGAGACCGGTAAAGAACCCTGTGAAGAGCCCAGTGAAGACTGTCATGCTTGCAGTAGCCTCCGGTGGGAAGAGACCGGTCAAGAACCCTGTGAAGAGCCCGGTGAAGACTGTCATGCTTGCAGTAGCCTCCGGTGGGAAGAGACCGGTCAAGAACCCTGTGAAGAGCCCTGTGAAGACTGTCATGCTTGCAGTAGCCTCCGGTGGGAAGAGACCGGTCAAGAACCCTGTGAAGAGCCCGGTGAAGACTGTCATATTCCCAGTTTCCTCCGGTAGCGAGACCCCTGTGAAGAGCCCGGTGAAGACTGTCATGTTTGCAGTAGCCTCCGGTAGCGAGACCCCTGTGAAGAGCCCGGTGAAGACTGTCATGTTTGCAGTAGCCTCCGGTAGCGAGACCCCTGTGAAGAGCCCGGTGAAGACTGTCATGCAGTCCCCAGTAGCCTCCGGTAGCGAGAACCCTGTATGCCGGAAGACCCATGCGTCTAAGCTGGCTAAGGACTTGCCCTCTCCCTCAAATTACTGGTCCACTGGGTATGGACGGGGGAATACCATGCGTGAAATCATGTTGCCTAGAAGCATGGAGGCGTACCTTCAGACATACTGGGATCATTGTTTGGGTGTCGCTCCGACAGTAAAACAGAAAGACAATGTTCTTTCGAAGGTCAGCCGGATAAAGAACTTCATAGTATACATGGCCCATGGTGTTAACCGCCTGTCAGACTGGCTGTTCCTAAGAAACATGAAGATGATCCGTGGCTGGAGCAAGTATATTGCAAAGTCGGGCCGGGCAGTCACAACATCAGAGTTCTTCCTGAAGAATGTGAACCACTTCATGGGGTACATGTCTGAGTCAAAGCCCCGGGGGTGCAGGCTCACCCAGTCTGATATGACCCACATAATGAGAGAGGTGAAAGCCAACATGAAACACTTGAATAAGGCAGTCACTCTCCACCAGTTTAAGGTGAAGAGGAACAAACTGGATCGTCTGCCGAGCCAGGCGGAGCTTCTCGCTGCCATGGCGGCCGCTGAGAAGCGCATCCCGGAGCTCCTCGACTTGATGGCCGGCAAGCCGACCTCAACCACCCAGAAGCTTCTCTATGGCTATCTCACCCTCCATTGGAGCCTCCTGTATGGCCACCGTCCGGGCGTGTACGCAAACATGAAAAACACTGAGGTCTTAGAGGCGGCCAAAAGGGGAACTGCTGAGGGCTACATCGTCCATGTGCAGGATCACAAGACGGCCAAGACATATGGCGAAGCACAGCTGGCGCTTACAGTAGAGGAGTTTAGCTGGGTCATGCGGTGGATGGGGATTAAAGAGGCATTGCTGGGTCCTCAGAATGAATTCTTCCTTTTCACAAGGGGGATTTGGGCCTCCAAGAACCTGAACGCTCACTTGAAGAGGGCATGGGCTGATGCTGTGCTAGAAACAGCCGTCACCTTCACAATCCTGCGCACTGCCCTGGCTGACAATATCAAGCATCACCAAGATCCAGAAAGCCGGTCAATTCTCGCCAGGTTTATGTGTCACGACGTAACCACGGCGGGCCGGTTCTACGCGAATGCGCCTGGAATAAAGGAGGCATTGAAAATCCGCTCCATGTTCAGGGCGTCATTGGTTGCGGCAGCAGCTGCATCAGCATCAGAAGGATGTCTACCGCTGTCAGATGGGGAGACCTCCGAAGAGGGCTCCAGGGCTGAGAGCAGCAGACAAGACCCCAACGATACCTCTTCTTCAGAGCACGAGCAACCTGATGGGTCATTGGAACGGCAGCAGCAGCGGAAGCGGAAGCGGGAGGGAAAGAGGCCAATGAAGTCGGGACCGGGGCTGGTTGACACTCCTGATGATGGGGCAGGGGCCGTGGACTCAACCTGTTTGCCCTGGTGCACCGTACGAATTAGACGCCTAATATGGTCCCCGGAACCCCGCTAAACATTGTGAATATGTATACCGTGTATATAGTTTTTGTTCAAATAAATTGTTATAATTATTATTATAATCCTGGGTATACATTTTGTAAATAGTACAATACCTCCAGGGCGCATAACTGCACTTTACAAGCCAGGGAAGGTGCCTGAATCCTGGGTATACATTTTGTAAATAGTACAATACCTCCAGGGCGCATAACTGCACTTTACAAGCCAGGGAAGGTGCCTGAATCCTGGGTATACATTTTGTTAATAGTGCAACACCTCCAGGGCGCATAACTGCACTTTACAACCCAGGGTAAACAATGTAGTAGTACTAGTAATAGTAGTAGTGCAACGTGTAAATAGTTCATGTTTTTGGCTGTGTGTACTGTTTTTGTTCAAATAAAAAAAAAATAATAATAACCTTGATGGTTCCCAGGGGCAGATAAAGTGCCACTTTCCATCAGCACCGGGGAGGCACTCTCCTTGGTGCTGAACCCTGTGATGAGCGCTCAAGTGTTGGCGGAGGAGGTGTAAGCCAGAGGAGGGTGAAAAAAAGTTAAAGTGTTTGAACCTCCAGCCCAGAAGGGGGGTGGTGGTGCCAATAAGAAGGCCGAATTTGGATGCTGATGGGCAGACATAAAAGCACCACAAAATCCACCCCCCTTTAGGGTCACCAGGGGCACGAGGTTCTGGTGGGTGTGAATACCTGGGTTTAGTCCGTGGGGGAGTGCTTAACTGCGGGGGCCCGGGGACTCACGGTGTGCAAGGTTATGGAGGTGCCACTGTTATGGGGACATGCTGGGGGTCATTAGTCCGTCCTTTGGGGGTCTGTGAGCGGGCAAAGAGAGGTGATTTTCCCGGTCTCTGTCCTGGAGGTCTGAAATAAACAGAGTCCCACTGTTAGGGACTGGTGCTGGAGGTCTCTAGGCCGTCCTTTGGGGGTCTGTGAGCATGCAAAGAGAGGGGATTTTCCCGGTCTCTGTCCTGGAGGTGTGAAATAAACAGAGTCCCACTGTTAGGGACTGGTGCTGGAGGTCTCTAGGCCGTCCTTTAGGGGTCTGTGAGCGTGCAAAGAGAGGGGATTTTCCCGGTCTCTGTCCTGGAGGTGTGAAATAAACAGAGTCCCACTGTTAGGGACTGGTGCTGGAGGTCTCTAGGCCGTCCTTTGGGGGTCTGTGAGCGGGCAGAGAGAGGTGATTTTCCCGGTCTCTGTCCTGGAGGTCTGAAATAAACAGAGTCCCACTGTTAGGGACTGGTGCTGGAGGTCTCTTGGCCGTCCTTTGGGGGTCTGTGAGCGGGCAAAGAGAGGGGATTTTCCCGGTCTCTGTCCTGGAGGTGTGAAATAAACAGAGTCCCACTGTTAGGGACTGGTGCTGGAGGTCTCTAGGCCGTCCTTTAGGGGTCTGTGAGCGTGCAAAGAGAGGGGATTTTCCCGGTCTCTGTCCTGGAGGTGTGAAATAAACAGAGTCCCACTGTTAGGGACTGGTGCTGGAGGTCTCTAGGCCGTCCTTTGGGGGTCTGTGAGCGGGCAGAGAGAGGGGATTTTCCCGGACTCTCTCCTGGAGGTGTGAAATAAACAGAGTCCCACTGTTAGGGACTGGTGCTGGAGGTCTCTAGGCCGTCCTTTGGGGCTCTGTGAGCGGGCAAAGAGAGGGGATTTTCCCGATCTCTGTCCTGGAGGTGTGAAATAAACAGAGTCCCACTGTTAGGGACTGGTGCTGGAGGTCTCTAGGCCGTCCTTTGGGGGTCTGTGAGCGGGCAGAGAGAGGGGATTTTCCCGGTCTCTGTCCTGGAGGTGTGAAATAAACAGAGTCCCACTGTTAGGGACTGGTGCTGGAGGTCTCTAGGCCGTCCTTTGGGAGTCTGTGAGCGGGCAGAGAGAGGGGATTTTCCCGGACTCTCTCCTGGAGGTGTGAAATAAACAGAGTCCCACTGTTAGGGACTGGTGCTGGAGGTCTCTTGGCCGTCCTTTGGGGGTCTGTGAGCGGGCAAAGAGAGGGGATTTTCCCGGTCTCTGTCCTGGAGGTGTGAAATAAACAGAGTCCCACTGTTAGGGACTGGTGCTGGAGGTCTCTAGGCCGTCCTTTAGGGGTCTGTGAGCGTGCAAAGATAGGGGATTTTCCCGGTCTCTGTCCTGGAGGTGTGAAATAAACAGAGTCCCACTGTTAGGGACTGGTGCTGGAGGTCTCTAGGCCGTCCTTTGGGGGTCTGTGAGCGGGCAGAGAGAGGGGATTTTCCCGGACTCTCTCCTGGAGGTGTGAAATAAACAGAGTCCCACTGTTAGGGACTGGTGCTGGAGGTCTCTAGGCCGTCCTTTGGTGGTCTGTGAGCGGGCAAAGAGAGGGGATTTTCCCGGTCTCTGTCCTGGAGGTGTGAAATAAACAGAGTCCCACTGTTAGGGACTGGTGCTGGAGGTCTCTAGGCCGTCCTTTGGGGGTCTGTGAGCGGGCAGAGAGAGGGGATTTTTCCGGACTCTCTCCTGGAGGTGTGAAATAAACAGAGTCCCACTGTTAGGGACTGGTGCTGGAGGTCTCTAGGCCGTCCTTTGGGGGTCTGTGAGCGGGCAAAGAGAGGGGATTTTCCCGATCTCTGTCCTGGAGGTGTGAAATAAACAGAGTCCCACTGTTAGGGACTGGTGCTGGAGGTCTCTAGGCCGTCCTTTGGGGGTCTGTGAGCGGGCAGAGAGAGGGGATTTTCCCGGTCTCTGTCCTGGAGGTGTGAAATAAACAGAGTCCCACTGTTAGGGACTGGTGCTGGAGGTCTCTAGGCCGTCCTTTGGGAGTCTGTGAGCGGGCAGAGAGAGGGGATTTTCCCGGACTCTCTCCTGGAGGTGTGAAATAAACAGAGTCCCACTGTTAGGGACTGGTGCTGGAGGTCTCTTGGCCGTCCTTTGGGGGTCTGTGAGCGGGCAAAGAGAGGGGATTTCCCCGGTCTCTGTCCTGGAGGTGTGAAATA